CAAAAGCTCAACATCTGTTTTAGGAATTTCTATATGAATGATCCTAAAATGAGGATACTATTGGTTTTAACTGGCAACATGTGATATTATTCAGTTTTATAGAATTAAGACACATCATGCCAAGATTGTTGGTTGGTCCAAGAACTGACATCTAGGTACCTTGAGCTGACATGACCTGAACTAGGCTTAAAATGTTTAAATGCAAGAAAAACAAAAGTCCAGCCAACACATCTAAAAGCACACACACCCTACCCTTACAGTGTGCATGTGACATGGGCTGGGAGGAACCGAGCAAGAAAATGGCTGCAGTTTCAAGTTTCCAGGAATTTGAAACCTGAAGACAGTTGCACTTGGCAAAGCTACTCTAACCTTTCTACCTATCCAAATTTGTACAAAATAAATGTCAAATAGCAGTTAATATAAAAAGTATCGTACTTACTGCTATAATCACCATATCCATAGTAGTTGTTGTAACCAGTGTAGTCATATCCTCCATAACCACCGTAACCTTGGCTGTTATATCCATAGTTGCCATAGCCTTGATTCCAATAGTTACTATATCCCTGGTTCCAGTTTTGACTGGGGCCTGCAGCACATTAATAGGTTCACTAAAGTCAGAAGATCAGCAAAGATCTTTACTTTAGGATAATTAAAAAGCAGAAAAGCTTAAGACAGAGTAAACTAGGCTCTCGCTTACCACCACCTCTTCCACGAGCTCTTCCTGCAAATCCTCCTCGGGATCCCCACTGCTGCTGTTGCTGATACTGTTCCTTCGACATGGCTACTTTTATTTCACACTGAAAGAGAAAAACTGTGTTATTAAACTGACTCCAGAAAACAAGCTGCTCAATAAATGTAATCATCATAGTAACCAATATGTTTAAAAGAGCTGGCTAATGTGATACCTTCCTCTAAATCAGTCTATCAGTTAAATCAATCATTAGTACTTAAGAATAATCACTATGCATCCAAATACTATCTGCTAGAGAGATGTTACTTTATTCTTCTTGTCAGGTCCTGAAAAATATTATTTTGGTACTGGACAAAAATCCACTAAAAATAATGAGCCCCTCCTACTCCCCCTATAAAAAACTAATCAATGACTTTAGTAAGTAGCCAATGAGGTATCTTTAAAGCACTAGCATAAAAACTGAAAGCTAAATGATTAAACAGCTAGTTTTGCCACGTGTAAACAGATGATTGACTTACTTTACTAAGACCAACATTGTGGTACTTTTTTTCCATGATCTTCTTCACTGGTTCTTCTTCCTTAAAGGTAATGAAGCAGAATCCACGCCTCTTATTGGTCTTGTTGTCCATGGGGAGCTCTATGGATTCCACCTGACATCAAGACACAAGTTTTAATATGCTAGCCTGTATTTTACTGACGTTAAAAGCAGCAAGTTCCATGGGGAGAAATGCACAAAGAAAATAAGTATTTGGCCCTGAAGCTCCACTGTGTGACGTGTTTTTCCTTTTTGTTCTAGTCCTTCTAAGGGATCCTTCAATTAGAACATCCACCTCACCTCAACAGTCTTCGCAACTACTGACAAGGACAAGTTTCCCCAGATGCTGATATTTACTGCCTAACTCGAGTGTCACAAACTCCAATGCTTACAAAGAATGAGAAAACAGTCTACTTTAAGGAAAACAGAACAACAATGTCTACACATGAAAGAAAACAGGGAGTAGGATGCTGAGGACTACCAGACTGGAAAGCATGCACCCAACCCATGGTGGGAACTACTATCAGTGAGCTTCAGAACAGCTGCCAGCCAGAAGCCAATGGCAGCCCAAGACTGCTAGCTCTTGCAAATATGTAGGATAAGTTCGATATCCAGCAAACATTTTGTGGGCAGAGTCTCAATTCCTCAATACTAACAACAAAACACGAATTCTCTTTGAATCAAGCAAAAAAAAATCCACAGGCTGCACTTGGGGCCTAAGGCCAATTTCCCAAGTTAGCTTTATATAATTAATCATAAAAGAAGTGTCTGCTGTGTCACTATTTCACCAACCAGTCTATAGTTTCACTGAATCTGCACTTACAAGTGTGATTATGCTGATGAGTCGCTATACCCTCGTCTTCATTCATTCCTTTCTTATTCTCAACAAGCTGTCTTCTAATCTGGATCTCTTCCTAATATTGGCTATACTTTTATTTCTTCTACTCATCTTGTAAAGTTCAAGGTAAGAATACTTGTCTAGTCTGGGCATGGTGGTTCATACCTATAATTCCGATATTTTGAAAGGCCAGGGCAGGAGGAATGCTTGAGTTCAGGAGTTAGTGACCAACCTGGGCAACATGGCAAAACCTGGTCTCTACAAAAAAGCAAAAAAATTGCCAAGTGTGGTACACACCTGTAGTCCCAGGTGCTTTGGAGGCTGAGGCGAAGCCTGAGCCCAGGAGGTTGAGGCTCCCATGAGCTGTGAGCAAGTCACTGCACTACAGCCTGGGCAAAGTGAGAACCCACAGAAATATTTTTAAAAAGAAATATTTTTAAAAAGAATGCCTGTCTAGTTCATCTTTGTGTACCCTGTGCCTAGCAATACTCTGCATACAGTAGGTACTCAGTAAATGAGTAAATGCAAAGATCTGTCAATAAACCATTTTACATTATCCTTATTCCAAAACAAACTGCATAATCTGCCCGAACAGCTGTGAAAAACCCAGTGACTGAGTCTACTTAATGTGACAATCACATTCACACTACTTTTGACATAAACTGGGTCAAAACATGTATAACATACCTCACCAAAACCACCAAAGTACTCCCTTATTTTCTCTTCAGGTGTATCTGGAGAAAGGCCACCAACAAAAATTTTTTTAACCGGCTCTTTTGTTTTCATGGCTTTGGCCCTTTTAGGATCAATCACCTTCCCATTCAATTTATGTTCTTTCTGATCCATGACCTAAAGAAATTCAAGTTTGCATTTTAAATATTAGTTAACTTAAGTTCACAGAATATAAGAAGCTTACTTAAAAATAAGTACAGTTAAATAGGGTTAATGCCAGGCATATGTTGGTTGGCTCAAGATGAAACTGTCATGTCACATGGTGATGTAACATCAACTTTCATATATTAGGTATCCAAATCTAAAGATCAGTAGGATGGTGGGGGAGGGAAAGACGGGAGGCCAGGTATGGTGGCTCACACTGGTAATCCCAGCACTTTGAGAGGCTGAGTCAAGAGGATTGCCTGAGCTCAGTAGTTTGAGACTGCCCTGGGCAACATGGCAAGACCTTGTCTCTACAATAAATCCAATAATTAGCCGAGCATGGTGGCACAGTCTCAGCTATTTGGGAGGCTGAGGCAGCAGGAACACCTGAGTCCAGCAGATCGAGGCTGTGGTAGCTGTGATCATGCCACTGCTCTCCACTCTGGGATACAGATTCAAAAAAAAAAAGAAGAAAATGGTGGAGAGGTACACAAAATTAACCCATTACTGGATAACCATCACCTTTAACTGCCAACAGCATATACAAACATAGTTGCTACTTCCCTTTAGCCCAAGACCAAAATAATGATTCAGTCAAAAGTTGCTTGCCTAACAGAATTTCAAAATGTGTAATCCTGGGAACCTGATAAAATATATACTTTTAGTTAGGTATCTCTAAGTCTCAGTGTTTTTTAAGTTAATTTAAAAACTTAAGAGCCTGGCAAACAAATTATTCAGAAAGCAATTCCTGAAATTTGCCTCTCCCTTCATAAAATATATTGGGAGAACTATTAGCTCTTCCTTCCTACACTGGCAAATTCATTGGATCAAACGACCCATGTTTTAACACTGTATATGAACTGATCAGATCAGAACATGTGACACACTACCTTATCTACACTCTCCGACTCCTTAAAGAGCACAAAGCCAAAACCCCTGGATCGCCCTGTGATAGGATCTAACTTCAGAGTGCAGTCTACAACTTCACCAAATTTGGAAAAGTAGTCCTTCAGATCTTTCTTTGTAGTGTCCCAGCTAAGGCCTCCTATAAACATTTTCCTGTAAAGACAAAAAGCAGTATTAAAATGCTAAAAAAAAATTAAACTTTGCCTTAAATATTATCCACATCAATAACACATCTTTCCCAAACTGCGCCAAATTACTGGGCAGTATAGTAAAATGCCATTCCTTCTACATAACCACAAATCAAGAACATCCTATTCCAGAAAGCTCTGCGTGTCACTGCTGCTCCTGAATAATTACAAAATAGTGAGCAAGCAGCAAGTTGTCTTCTGACTTGCTAAAAAGATAAAGGTATACCCACAGTAAAAATACTGTACATTGTTTTTCTTAAATTACAAATTAAATATTGTTAACAGCGAAAGACAGAATCTCAGTTTCCAAAATTTGTTCCAAATCATTACTAAACTTGAAAGGCTCTGCACTTCCCCACTTATCACAGCAACCATCATCGTGTCTATGCTGAAGCTCCTTTTCTACTTTTCAGTTCTCTCATTAACAAAACTCTTGGCACATAAAATGGAAAAGCCTAAGTGTCACAGCTGAGTTGTGAATTAACTTTTTGGATGTGCTAAGAGTCCTTAATAAAGACAAAAGCAACATAAAATGTAAACAATTTAGTGAAAATCATCCACTGAAGCACAGTATACTAATTAGATGATTGATTTACAGTAGAACCTCAGTTAACCAGCAATAAAATACTTAAGCATTTAAAATACTAAAAGTAACGGGTGGTTAAGTGGGAAACCACCAAGACAATTTGAGACCAAAAATACTCAAAACAAAAATTTAACGTGATGTCTTATTAACATTACTGTTACAGTAAAAAGTCAAAAAGCTTGGATCTGACAGCTCCGTAATCCTTTTTACACATGCTCCCTTAGCACCAAGGGGAAAAAAGGCTTCCCTATACCCACCTTCTACCCTTTATAAGAGACAGGACTAGAGATTTTATTTTATGGATAAACTGTCAGAATTTGTTATGTGATAGCTAAAAATTTCACCATGGTGGGGGATCCAGCTTGCTCACAGTTTTCTCATCTTTTTTAACCAGGGGTGGGCCTGGGTAGGGATGGGGCTGTGGGTATTCATTTCCAACTCCGGAAAGAAATTCAAGCAGGCCTTTCCTTAGAAAGTGTCTCCATCCTGTGGGCTTTTAGGATATTACTTCAAGGCCCATTCTTAACTGTCCTAGGGTCAGTTCCTCAAAGATGCCTGATTAACTGAGGTGTTACTGACCTTACTATTTTACCACAGGCTTATTTTACTTATAATGACAAGGCTAACTTTTAAGTTTTCAACTTGCACATGTATTCTAGAGCTGGGCTATTTAATGCATAATTTTGAAAACAACCTCAAATAAGATTTCCATGCCTTAAGTAAATGAACATAACAAAACACCCTTAATGTCCCCAGTATTAGAATGTTTACTTATTGCAAATTAAATAGAAAAAAATTCCCAATATACGTTTTCTTTCATTTGAACAACGCATCTTCCAATAGTTGTCTTATTTACATATTTACTCTAGAGCACCTCCTTCCCGGAGGCAAGCTTATGACCAACATTCACCCTTGCCAGGTGGAGGAGAGGAAATACTCTCTTTAATGACACAGAACTGACTATAAAGCAAGGCTCTTGCTCACGGCACCTTCTAGAACAGAGACACGTCAGTCAAGTTGACACTTAACTATCAAATTACCATTCCTGTAACTATTACAGAAATTTCCCACAATAAATAATTAAAGTCTGAAACTATTTCAACCTGAACACAGTTACAACAAAAGCTTTATTTTAGAAAGCTAAAGCTGAAAGGCAAGAAAATTCTGTCTGGTCTATTCAAATATCGGGACAGAACTAGTTGTGATTTTATTTAGCCAAAGCAAATTCATATTGGGAAAGTGTCACTAATTTAAACTAAGAAACAGAAAACAATTACAAAGAAATAAAACCAGAATGAGGTATGGTCTATTACTATTCACAAGCCCCGAATTTTTTTTACAGGACAGAAAGTAGATTTTCTTAAATTAGGTAAGCTTACTCATTTCATTAATTCATAGCGGGCCCAATCAAGTGCTCTCTAAAGAAACTCCACACCTTTGATGAAGTCTTTAGAAGTTGTGACATGTGCCCGCCTTAGCCGTCAGGGTTCACTGAAGATACCATCCCTTTCTAACCTAACAACAATGGGTACTGGTTCTCAAAACACTAGAGCAAAACTAGTCCTAAGACTTCAGCTATCTAGCACCTTTAAAAATAAGGAGTCAAGTACTCCACCTTCCTTAAAGCATTGCCTGTTTTTCCTAATTCTGCCCCAATTGTTTTTAATTGTCAACTATTTAGAAGGATTTTTTTTCCTAACATACACTCTTCTGCCTTCTTCTACTTCAAATACGATATACAGGTCAGTCACTACTAATAGGTCAGTCACCACTAATATACACCATGCTAACACAGAATGCCCTGAAGTGCTTCTAAAATCAGAACCATTTATTAATATACAAAATACATCTCATTTCTTCCCACGTTCTATTTTTCATCTTTGCCAGATAAATCACCAGTTGCTGTTCTAAAATGTCCCCCTTTCAATTTGTTCAGTAAGTAGTCAGCTCTCAAACTTTCCAAATGTTGTGTAAATATTCTCTAAGCAACAGCCTAAGTGGCTCTTCTTCAAGACAAATGTATTAATATTTTGATAGCCCAAAAGCACTAGCTTTATATTCTGCTCTAATTAAGAAAGGGGATGGACACAGTGGCTCATACCCATAATCCCATCACTTAGAGGGGGCGGAGGTGGGAGGACTGCATGAGCTCAGGAGTTTGAGACCAGCCTAAACAACATGGCAAGAACTCGTCTCTGCAATAAATCAAAAAAACTAGCCAGGTGTGGTGGCGCACACACCTGTAGTTCCAGTTACTTGGAAGGCTGAGGGTGAAGCTGCACTGAGCCATGACCGTGCCACTGCACTCCAGCCTGGGTGACAGAGACTCCAATTCAAAAAAAAAAAAAAGGTTGTTAAACCTTTCTTTAATAGGTGAATATCCTACAACGAACATAAACTGCACCAAATCCATTCATCTCCATTAAAATGGAACTTATTAAATCTGTTCTATCTTTATTCAGCAGATACAGCAAACTAGCTGTGTAGTACAGTGGGGAAAGGTCTGGATTAGTTTAGGATTAAATGAGCACCTAACTTTAGCCTCCCTAGAAAGCATGGGCACTCCCTCTCAGATTGAGATGGCATAATATCCATTCAAATTATCTGTATTTTATGACTGTACCTTGCTTAAGACACAACACCTATTATCAGTTCAGATGATTTTCAAATTGCTGTCACTCCTACAGAGGTACAGATACTTTCCAACAAAGTAGAGACGGAACTTCAGAAAAATCCTGAGGAGCAAAATTAAAACTACCAAGACTTGCTCCAGTAGCAACATATGTCCTCTAATGCTGTAATATATGTTTAAAATCTGATCTTTAATTGTAAATCAATCAATAATCCAAATTAAAATGTAGGGCTTCATCTGCAGTAGTTTATTAACAAAATTTCTTAACTCTAGCTATACACTAAATATTCAGCATCCAAAGGATGAATACAGTATAGCACCTACACAACAAAAGTCTCTTTGCTTTCACACTGGTATTACACCAAATTATAAAATTAAATAACAAGCATTAAGTTATGCCACTCAGTGTAGATGACTATCGCAATGTTATGCAGTGTAATTCAGAAATTCATGCTGCTGTGTGGGGAAATTTGCATCACCTTCTTAGAGGCAATAAAGCCAAACTGCCTGGGTTTAATAAGCCCTAGCTCTGCCACTTACTAACTGTATGACCTAAGTAAAAAGATAAAATTCCAAGACTGTTCCCCACCTGTAATAAGAGCCTATCTCAGATATCTGCGGTGAAAATTAAACTAGCTAATACACTTACTTAAAGGGCACAGTCTGACACATCCTAAGTGAGCAATAAGTTACTATTTTGAATGGGTAAAGCACAATCTAAACACAATACAGCAACCTTTTCGTTTACTCAATGGTCTGATTTTTTTTTTTTTTTTGAGTTGGAGTTCTCACCATGTTGCCCAGGCTAGAGTGCAGTGGCACGCTCACAGCCACCACAGCCTTGACCTGCTGGGCTCAGATGATCCTTCAGCCTCAGTCTTCCAAGTAGCTGGAACTACAGGCATGTGCCACCATGTCCGGCTAATTTTCTGATTTATTGTAGAGATGAGGTCTCCCCAAGTTGCCCAGGCTAGTCTCAAACCCATGGGCTCAGGTAATCCTCTCACCTTGGCCTTCCAAAGTGCTGGGATTTTAGGCAGGAGCCACCATGGCTGGCCAGTCTGATATTTTTTAACTCTCTAGGCTGTATTAACTTTCCAACATAAAAGGGAAAAGGCCAGGACTCATTTTATATAAATGGATCCTAGATTATTTCTAATGTTGCAGACATGAAATAACCCAGAAATTTGTAAATATTCCACATAAAAAATATAGATTGGAAATTAGGTCTTTTGACATTTAAGATCCTTTAAATGTAGCTTCCAAAATCATCTGGACAACTTGCCTACACACATACTAGTAATTTTAGTAAAGAATAATCTAAAATATAGAAGGCAATAGATATGGAGCAATGCTGGTTGGTGGGAAATGTTCCAATTTAATAATCCTGTTTTTTCCCCATCAATAAACTTATTCTCTGGACTACTGAGGTCACTAAGTTTAATACTCCCGGGACAACAATAAGTATTTTGTTTAAAGATAATTCCACTAAAAAGTGTTCACAAAACACCTTATTCAAGGTAAAATGCCAACACCTTACACTCACTCCCAATTTTGGAATTGTTTTAAGTATTCTATAACTTGTAAACAGTACCTAACAACTTGTAATTTTACATGATGTGGCTTCATAACAAGTTCTGACAGTTTAAAAAATACAAAATACCAACCTGATACACATTTCAGGTATATAAGAGAACTGACCAATCACTGTCACTTTTTACAGTAATATTTACTCAATCACATCACTAGTCCTTAATTTTTCCAGTATTTTATCCATCATTAGGATGTTTGAAAATCCTAAAATAACCAACTATAATGAAATCTCCCCAGTACATAAGACATGAGCATTTTCCTTTAGAAATTACAGGTTTATTTTAAAGTTAATTGACTAGTTACCAAAAAAGGGGGCAGGAGGAGGTAACAGGGCAACTAGATAATTATCATATGGCAAAATAGTTATTTTAGAATTTGTATAAAAACTACCCTGGAAGATATCTGGACAGACTTTTGGCAAGTCCAAAAACAATCCACCTTTTTAGATCTGGTGTATAATACATGAAAACCACTTTTTTTTTTTGAGTCAGAGTCTCACTCTGTCACCCAGGCTGAAGTGCAGTGGCACACTCACGGTCACCGCACCCTTGACCTGATGGGCTCAGGTGATCCTTCCGCCTCAGTCTTAAATGTAGCTTCAACTACAGGCGCGTGCCACCACGCCCAGATAATTTTTTGATTTACTGTAGAGATGAGGTCTCGCCAAGTTGCCCAGGTTGGTCCCAAACCTGTGGGCTCAGGCAATCCTCTCACCGCGACCTCCCAAAGTGCTGGAATTACAGGCATGAGCCACCACACCCGGCCGAAAAACCACTTAACTATTTGAAATTAATAGGACATTAAGGTTGGCCAATAAACAAATTCTCCCCCCCAAAAATACTTCAGTCAACAAAATCTAAATTCCAGTATTATTTCCCTATTATTAAACAGGTATTCCTCCTCCACCTTTCTATATATGTTAAGATGGCATTTTCAAGGTAAGTGTGAAAAGAAATTCTATTTTGACTAATGTACAATGGATTAAACATTTTGAAAGCAAGATGAATTCTCCTCTATATTAAATTTCATTACTTCATACTTTAGAATGAACCTAAATGACTATAAAAAAGGTAACTCAGTAGAACACTAAGAAATTAAACATGACAATTTTAAAAATAAACCTCACATGCTTAATCCAACATTTCCCATTTTCCTTCATTTTATTACAAGAAAGCAATGACATCTTGTATTTTTATTTTTAAATAAACTCTCATTCAGCTTTATAAGGTAAACTCCCATTGGCCTAGGTTAAGAAATGGTCTTTCCTTAACCTAGAGGTTAAGGTTCTGGTTAACTGAGATTACTACATATCCATAATTCCATAAAGTTCTCTATTGGAAGTCAATTTTTATACCAATGCTAAAGTCAGAAAATAATTTTTATCTTGCATGATGACTTTTTGGAACATTACTTTTCAAAAGCATAAGGGAAAATTTGTAGGAGATTCATTCCATGACATTGTCTGTTGGTTGCTTTTTGAGCTCATTTGCTCAGTTCCATCTATCTTACTCATTAAGACTAAAGGAGGGAGAGACTTCCTGGCTCTGTCGACAGTGGTGGTATGAAGTCTAGATAAGCAGGAGTTTACAGAGCAAGACTCAATACTTAAAACCATCACCTTGATGATCGGCCAATTACTGCCAGTAAATGCAAGTCTTCCCTCCCACCCCACACATTTAAAAATACCTTGCTCCAATGCACAGAAGAATACTCCAGAAACTAAAACATGCTTACCTTTACTCCACAGGAGTAAATCACTGGCAGTATCAACTATTAGGGCACTGGATAAATATACACAAGCTATGAAAGCAGGCTATGTAGGCAATCTTCCTGTGGTGAGCATTGTTTCCAGCACACAGATCAGCAAACCAAGTCACAAACATGTCATGTTACCTGAAACCACACTGTTGAAGTGAAGCAACAGAACATCCCGCTTCCAGCATCCAGTTCAGTGCCCTATCTACTAAACGTGGAGCAGAACTAAAGGCAAAACCATTTGTGAATCTGCACACACTTGATGCGCACAGCTTTAAGTGGAACGGGAAAAAAGTTACTCTCCTTCCCTTATAATGCTTTCAAGCATAACATATATCACTTGAAGACTAAAACTAAACCTTCACGTTGGCCATAAATCACACACCAAAATAGTAGACTCAAAATATTCTTGTATTAGGGCAGCCTTAGATGACAACAGAGTACCCCATCAATATTGAAACCATACTTATTGAAGGGGTCACATGGCTCGAGGAAAAAACCCAGGTCTGAGGCAAGTATGTTTACCTCAAAAAGCAGTGAAAACTTCAGTGGTATTCTTCAATTCCAGATGACTTTTAGTATCTTTCATAACATATGAGAATTTGAAATGAAAAGCACACTCATCCCTTAAATGTTCATCAAGACTTGGAGGTATCAATTTCTGCAGTTTTAACTCCAGAAATTTGTCAAAGGCTCCAAAGAAAGCTAACACTGAGACCCATCTACTCAGAGTTTCAACTTTACTATTTACAATAACTCAACTTTACTGAATCAAAGGCCAGTAAATTTAGCATGCAACTACTCTAAAAGTAATTGACAAAGCAAACTATGTTCAGATTACTCAAGAAGCACTAGGATATAGACTAAAATCTCCAGTATTTAAAACAGGCTGGGCAGCGTGGCTCATGCCTATAATCCCAGAACTTTGGGAAGCTGAGGGAGAGGACTGCTTGAGCCTATGAGTTTAAGGCCAGCCTAGGCAACAACAGCAAGACCTTGTCACTACAAAAAAAATTCAAAAATTAGCTGGGCGTGGTGGCCTGCACCTGTAGCCTATAGTCCCAGAGGCTGAGGCAGAAGAATTGTCTAAACCCAAGAGGTCAAGTTTGGATGAGCTGTGAGGGTGTCACTGTACCTCAGTCTGGGTAACAGAGACTGTCTCCAAAAAAATAAATAAATAAATAAAAAGAAACCAAGAAAAAAATGAGTCCATTTTTTAAAATCAGACAGTCTTTTGGTTTTTTTTTTATGTACCAGCAGTGATAGAACTGTAACTACTGTCCTGTTAATAATAAAAGTACTGCTGTGCTTCGGTTGATAACTGAATTGGAACTACTTTGCTTACTACCCAATCCATGCAGTAAAGCCAATGTACCTACCTTGTAAAACATCTGAAAACTAACATAATAGTCTACTTTTCCAGTCATCTTTAGATTTTAAAACTCTGCCCTCCAGGTAGCTTGCTACATGACATGCATATTTTGCCAGACACTAGGCAGTTTTAAAGTGCCCATCCCAAATGAACCATACTACTGCAAAGTACAGCAATGAGTTCATCCGTCAAGGCAAAATGGGAAATTCCAATGCAACTGTTTACAGGTACAAACTAGGGATGTTAATATTGAAAAGATGAAATCAAGGTGAACTCAGGAAGGCAGTTTACTATGGAAATAGTTATTCTAAAGCCCCTTAGTAAACTGTAGCAACATCCGCTAGAGGTATAACTGGGATGCCTTCCTAAAAATAGGAATACATGAAAAGGGAGAAAATATTATGTCCACAAACTAATTTTTAGTATATTTTAGGACAAAATTGTAATCACTTAACTCTCAGAAGAAATTTGCAGAAGGAAATGCATACAGAATTGTTTAAGAAATTAAATTTAAATGATTTTGTATCTACCAATCAGTCATATCCACACAAGACTTTATTATTAAACGGTTGCATGAAATCAAAATGGGAGACAGAGCAAGAAACAAATAAGGTGGCCAGTGCACAGACACCAAAAGAACATGTAAAGAGTTTCATGATTTTTGTTGATAAATAAAACTTTAATATGAAGCTGGGTGATTGGAAGTTATCAAGTTATTAAAACAATTAAGCGTAACTTGAAATGAACCTCAGTAAAGTCTTATTTTCAGTGGATGACAACTGCTCAAAATCTAAAATGTGCATCATAAATATCTGTCCGTTTTTCCTAAGAGATCACCAAAAAAAGTTGCAATCCTTTTAGGTGGCAGGGCAAGTATAATTCTTTAAGGATCAAAACACTGACCTTCAAACCTAAAAGTTTATGGTCATTTCAAATTACCAGAAGCAATTACATAAGACTCAAACTAAGGTAACAGAGTAAAGTACAGCTACAGTTTAATCTTAACGGCCACGATCAGTGAACTATTAGTGCCCACCAGTCATCAAATGAGGGAATGGCGTGCATCCATTTTTATTGTGTCAAACTATAACCCGAGGTTTTTTTCCTTTTTGCATCTCCCCTTGCCTACCTTCTCCAATCTGCCTTCTCTCCCATCTAAATCTAGACATATTCCAGAGGATGAGAACATGCTAATAAGTAAATCTCGTGTAAAATTTAAATGTTATCCCAAATGGGCTCTTCAAATAGAATGCAGCTTAAACAAGTATAAAGCAACTATATGCAATTGACTGGCCCTCTGATCTCCAGTGGTGGTGGGTACAAACCCCAGAAAATTCCAATAAGATCCCCTAAAGGCAGAGACTGACATTTAGGAGGAAAAAGATGGGGGAAAAGAACAATACTGAACCTACCAGCCTCCAAAGAGAAGTCATGCAATTGTCAATACATGTCAACCAACTGTAATTAATATTCCAGCCAAATCACACTGAAAATAAAAAATCTGGTAAGAGCTGTAGTGGAAAGCCACTCTGAATGGCATGTGTACAAGCCTTATTAAAGGTACATTTACAAGCAGGAGAGCTGATAAAAGAAACATTTTGCACAATACAATACTACTTAAAGATTGTTTTACTTTTGACATCTCCAGAATATTTCAGTGTAACATGCAAGATATTTGTAACACACAATATTTTACATCCAGTAATCTTCGTATTTAGCATTAAACTTAGAATCGCAACGAAAACATTCTTATCTTAAAAACAAATCAAGTGTGAAAATTACAGCAACATTTTTTCTTGCCCAGATGTGAAAATGTCATTACTAACTAGACTTGGCTTCAAGTGGCCACTGCAATTCATGCATTACCGCAGACCCAGCACAGAGACCTTGTGCCCCAGGTACGAGGCACCCCGCGGTTCTCGTCTAGTTCCTGGGATCCTGGGCAACCAGCCCGCACAAGCCTCTGCCCGCACGACCACCGCAACCCTTATATACAGAAATAAAACGTAAAAGCGTTACCATTCTTCCCGCTGTGCCGTCGCTGCTTCAGCGTGTCGTGGGGAGGAGTTTGAGTGGCTAGGGAATTAACAACCGGTACAGCAACCAATCAAAATGCTAGTCTTAGCTCGGACACTGTTAGGGTTAAAAACTGTAATTCATTGACACTTCAGGTTTGTGATTTGAAAACTCAGGGCTCACAGGAAGCCTGCCCCAAACGGCAAGTTAAGCGATTAGTCATTTTGGTGCCTCTGTCCGAAGAACAGAATTCGGAAAACAAAAACCAAAATGCCAGCGGCTGTAAGTTTCCAAATGCTCGGCACACGCCTTTCGAGGGAGGCTCAACGACCAGGGTTAGTCTGAGATTAGGACCCCCGCCCCTCCCGCCGGCTCTCGCCCAGGGCCAAGTACCACCCGACAGTCGGCCAGTCCGGGGTCAGCCCGACAGTCCCAAGTGCCCCCGGATTCTGCGCTCCCCCAGGAAGACACGGGTGTCTAACACTGGGTCAAAGCGACACTAGTGGTTCACCTTCCGCCACACCTTCCTCCTAGTTAAGCCCCCACCCCACCAAGAGGACGCTGAACCCAGATCAGCCCGGTGCGGGGGCAAAGGAGACCCCCCGCGATCCCCGACTGAGTCCCTCGAGCCGACCCCCGCGGCGGGCTCCAGCCCCCAGGGCTGCACCTTAGTGTGTTACACGCAGCTCTGGGCATTACCATCCCAACTAAAGGAGGCCGTGAGCAACCAAGGCCTGCGAAAAAATTCCCCGCGGCACACTCGGGGTTCGTCCAACGTGGGGGGTGGGCCTCCTCCAAGCAGGGGGAGGGTGGGAAGGAGAGATCGAGGGGCCAGGAGAAGCGGCCCCGAGAAGGGCCGGGCGTCACGTGGAGCACGCAGGAGTGAGGCGGCGCGAGGAGGGCGCTGGCGCGAAGGCTGCGGCCGGAGGCACGGCGGGCAGGCGGAACAGCTCACGAGCCTGCGGGGCAGGGGTGGCCCCGCTGGGGCTTCGCGGCCGCTCCCGTGTCCGCTTCGGCCCGCAGGTCGCAAGGCGGGCCCGAGCGGGCACCCATTGTGCGCAGTGCGCGGCAAAGACCACCGAGTCTCGGGCCAAACTTGCGCGGAACGCCAAGAAACGCCCGGCCGGGAAGCCGCGGGGCGGGCAGCCCACTCGCCCCGACACGTGCCCGAGAGCGACTGCGGGGTCTCGGGGCCGCGAAGACCGGGAATCCGGCGGGAGAGCGCTCGGGAGCCATCTGCGCTTTAACGCCCAGACTTTGAAAAACGGGAAGAGGGCCCGGCGCGGCAAGAAAAGG